GCCGCCGCCGCCGCCGCCGCCGCCGCCGCGCCTCAGCCGGAGCAGCGGCCCGAGCCGGCAGCGCGCGGAGCGGCGGGCGCGGCACGCAGCGCCCAGAGGCACTTGGCGGCCGCCGCCGGGTGGGCGGGCGCCAGCCGAGGGGGCGGCTCCATCCATTCCCTCATTAGGGATGCGGGGCCGCTCCTCCCCCTCCTCGCGCGCGCTCTCGCCCGCCGGCCCCGCTGTTTATTTTTGTTTCTCGCCCCACCCGCGGAGTACGGTTGTCTGAGAGCCTCTGGTGGCTTTTATTTGCATTCGTGTTTGGGTTTTGCCGGGCGAGGTGAGAGGGCGCTGGTGCAATTAAGTGGCCCCCTTTTGTCCGTTTCCTCGGAAAGAATGGGTGCGATCCTCCGCCGCCCGTCCCAGTCTCGGGACTTTTCCCAGGCTTAAATTCGGCTCCCCCGCCCCCGTGCCCAGGCTTGCTCAATTCCTGTCCTCCCCCGAGCGCCTTCTCAGTCCCCTTCTCCAGGGAGCTGTGGGGTCAGGGTCGCCCTAATAGTTGGGCAAACCGCACAAAAGCCAGTGGAAGCGCCTGCAGCCTCGGCGGGGTGCAGAGGGTTCGGGCGCGGCAGCTCGCCGAGGTGCCCGCAAGGCGCCGCCTCCTTGGGAATGGGGCGGCAGAAGAGATCGCCCGGCGCCCACCGCAGCACCCCCGGAGCGGCTGAGACCGGGAGTCCCAACGTCTACACTGACTGATCGTCACTTCCTGGGACACGAGGAAGTGTCACTTAGGAGAGCTTGTTTAGGGAGGGTGGAGAGCCGACTTTGATTCCGGCCCAGTCCTACCTCCTCCAGGTGGCTTCCTCACCCGCCCACCCACCTGCCACTTAAATGTCCTTCAGACATCCTGGTACAATCCACTGTCAGGGCCCAATAGCCCTTTTAAAAGCAATGCTACTTCTTTCTGTCTTATCTGGGAGCCTACATTTTGCACGTTCAGCCTCTAGGACAAAAACCTTATCATCTCTCTATTCTTTCCAGTATTTCTTTTTTACTTCCTTTCATGGGTGGGCAGGAAGATAAAAAGGAGCAATGATAGAAGGAGGTAGATCCAATTTTCGAGCTTCTTTCATAAGCCTCCACTGGGAATCTTAAGATGATGGGAAATTCCTCCTCTCTCCTGAAGTTCATCCATTTGAAGAATCCCTGTGCCAGATGGTTTTTATCCTGACTCATTAAAGGTTGTTTCTGAAAATTTAACACTTGACCCTTAAAACATGTTCCGAAAGTCCTAAAATAGCAAATCCAAAGATACTCTGGGGGGGGGGGATTCTCATCCGGTAAACAGTCACTTCTTGAACACCATCTAGGTATTTGTTTCTTTAGCAGTTTATCTTGTAAACACTTCTCAATTTCACAAGGCAAATAGAAATCACAAGATCCCTTGGGCTTTCATCCCCTACTCCTCAGACAAAATGCAGGCTTTAGGACTGCAAGGCTGCATCCTGAATTATGGCGTACAGCTGGGAATGCCAAGCTCTCACAGTCCCTCTGCGGAGATCCTGAATCACCAAGATGGACTGAAGTGGCCAGGGCAGAAGCCTGTACTTCTTTGCTCAGCAACAGCCACTGCCGCCTATAGGGGCTGCTGCTGCGGTGTCAGCAGGACCACTGACTGTTGCATCCTCTGGAGTACACAGTGTTAAAACATCCCCGGGTCAGCGTCGGAATAAACAAGGATCCGTGAAGCAGTGCTCAACCCCACTGGGGTGTGAATCATTCCTTCAACCAGTACCTTGGATTTTGCTTTTTGGTGCCCATTCACATAGGATCCCATCTTTATCCTTGTATTAACCCAGACAGATACTTATTTCCCTGTTAAAGTCCATGCACCTGACTTATTCAGGATCACAGTCGCGCTGGATTGATGGTGCGCAGAAGAAGATAACTGGAATATATGGTAGTGATACTGTTCAATCATGCACCAGTTACCGTACCCACAGGTCCACCTCCATGAGGTTCTTTATACCTGTAAGGTGTAGTGGTCATTAGAGACAGAGCTCAAAGGAGAGCCCAGGATTTCTGGCACGGTGGCTTGCAAGGCTTTCAAGTGTATGTTAAAAGTCATGGGCAAATCTCTTCACTGGGTTTGCCCCACTGGGCTCGTATATTGAAACTTGCTGAAAATCATGTAGTAATAGGAAGGGATACTGATTTTCAAGATCAATCCATAAAGAAAGTCTTAAAACAGTGGCACTACATTCAAAGGGAGTCTTATTGGGTGGATAACTCAAGTCCAGATGCTGGCTACCAAAAAAGTCAAGAAACAATGTCATCCCCCCCACCCCCAAATGGCATTCAAATAATCCTCACTCGTGCCTACAACTTTAGGCTTGGTATACAATGAAAATTCATTTGACATAGGTTAGAAAAAAGTCATTGAGTCATTGAAGGTGTGCACTGATATGAATTCTCCTCCCCTTAACCTGGCAGGAGGCAGTGTTATGAATGAATTACAATTTATTTAGCTATAGTTCTTAGCAACGAGGATGCTCATGAGCATCATTTCCTTGTGCTCTATGTATAGCTCCTTGTACCTGTGATAATGAAGACATGACTAAAGAAGTATTTTAAGGCTCTGAGTAATTTTCTTTAGGATTATTAACCAAACGTGGCATGTTTAATTCAGAGGTTTCTAACTTCAGGTATTAGGGTACCAAAGGCTTCAGAAAAACATTGAAAGTACTGAGAAAACAAAGAAAAATAAAGATCGCAAGATTCTAAACCTGTACTGAAATGTGTTAAAAGAACATTGTCCATCAGCGGTGCTACAGAGTGCAGTTTTCTAAAACTACACAACCCTATGCAGTAGGTACCAGCCACATGGGGCTACTGAGCTCTTGACATGTCATTTTATTTTGAATTAACTTTAAATACTTTAAAAACTGATACTGGATTCGGTGATTGGGGAATTTTAAATTGTTAGAAAAAAACTTGGATACACGAAACTTTCAAGGAAATATTCTTTTTTTTTTTTTTAAGATTTTATTTATTTTAGAAAGAGGTAGAAAAAGAGAAAGCGAGCATGCATGAGAGTGGGGAGGGGCAGGAGGAGAAAATCCTCAAGCCAAAGCCATGCTAAGCACAAAGCCCCATGCAGGGCTCTATCTTAGTCTCACAACCCTGAGATCACTACACGAGCGGAAACCAAGAGGCAGACATTTAATTGATTGAGCCACCCAGGTACCCCTCAACTAAATATTCTGAAATCTAAATGTAGTTCAAGTATTTCTGATGAAAATTCATCACCTGAATTGAGATGTGCAGTAAGTACAAAATGTACACCGGATTTTTATAGACTTAGGAAAAAAAGAGTGCAAGATATTTCTTTAATAAATGTTATATTGATTACATGTTGAAATGCTAATGTTTTGACATGTTGGGTTAAACAAAATATATCAAAATTAATTTCAACTGTTTCTTTTTACTTTCATAAATGTCAAGACTCAAAATTATAAAACATATTACATACGTGACTTAAACCATCTCTCTTTTGGACAACACTTCTCCAGTTGCTGAAGAATCAAAAGCCTTGATTAGAAGCTATTAATAATTCCCTCTTTGACTCAACAAACATAATTAGTACCACTCTACCACATACCAAGAGCTATACTGTTCAAAGGGAATATTCTTCCCTAACAGTCACTAGCAGTTCTTCTTCTTTTTACAGAGCTAAATGAAAAATATGGTGAATTCATACAAATGAGTGTTAACAGATCGCAGTCCTTTGTAAACAAAGAATTTGTTGAATGTGAGAGATTTAGCAGAGTTCATAATAAACTCATAAAACTGTACATTTCTTATATCATGTTCTCTAAACGTAGTATTTGATAGACTTGGCCAGTCAACAGCTGTTTACTATTGAGAACATACTTCGTTTCAGTAAGACACAAGGCTATCTACGTTCTTTCCTTTAACCCACAGAGAACTACAGAAAGGGCAGTTCGGTAATGTAACAAAGAGTTGTCCCAGCTAAAGAGAAATATGGTTAATGTCCGTCAGGAAAAGAACAATCAGTTCTTTTAAAAAATAAATAAATTAATTAATTAATAAGTAAACA